TTTTTTTCATCATGGCCAGATTAGAAGTCATCTTGCAAAGTTACTCTTCCCTGAAAGGTTTAAGGTAGCCTCATGGGAAAAATGCCAAATGCTTGTACATGTTGACTTCTTTTTCCCTCTCCTTGTGCCAGAGGATACACTGATGTTCTGGAAAGGAATAGCTGATGTGGGGCTGATGGAAGAGGTCGTGTGCAACATCCAGAAGGAGATAGAAGAAGTCCTAAGAGGCGTCCAGCAGAGGTTGGGTCAGTCTCCCTTCCAGATGACAGGTAGGTTGTGAGCCACAGCCTCTGGCACTGCGGTGGGGAAGGATGCTGAAAAAGGCAGCTGCAGGCAAAAAAAAAAAAGTGACAAGGGTCCATCCCCACCGTTTAAAGCTATTGAGTCAGGGTGGTGAGCAAGTTATGCTCGTTAGCAGAGCCATGCGAGCTCGGTCTGGGTGTGCTCTCAGCCTGCCCAACTGTGAATTGCGTTCGCTTACGCCACCATGGGGCACAAAGACTCAACGTGCCACCCTGCTCCCTCAGCAGAGTGACCCTGGCGGCTTGCTGAGACCATCGGGCGACTGCCTTCAGCTCCTGGCCCTCAGGAAAGCCTGCCCAGATTCACTTCTTGGAGCAGAGCTATTCAGACACTTTTCTCTGTGATGGTGCAGGTTGAAACAGGTCCTGCCCCCTCACTTCTCGTCCTGTCTTCACTCATGCCAGAAAACCTGGTTTGGGGGGCTGAACCAGATGAGGGAACTGATCTGGGTTAAAAATAACTCCCTTCCCCTCCTTAGGGTTATTTTTAACTTGGATCAGCTCCCTAATCCAGTTCAGCACATGCCCCTGTGAGCAAGGGGTTTGAGAGCACCTCTTGTTGATGCTCTTGCTGTGAGAAGATCCGTGTAGCCACAAAACTTCATTTTACCCAGGATGGTTTTTTTATTTTCTAATTTAGCTTTGGGCTGGCGGATCTTTGTGTCTGGTAGGTGGCAGCTTTTGGAAGCTGTAAATGATTGAAGTCAGTGGATTATAATAGAAATTTTGCACAGCTTTCAGTGGAGCTGGCATGTTAATGACACTGTCAGCAGCATGGGGTGATGATTTGTAGGTGGAGAGCTCGTTTGTATCTCTGTGATTGCAAATTATGCTTTCATTTGCAGCAATTCTGGGCTGCTTGGGTGACACATCTCTGTTTCATTTTTCTTTATCATGTGAATGGGATTATTTAGTCCTTGGATGTCAGAAGGATGAGGGAGCCAGGTCTGCCCTCGCCAGCCAGCCCTTGTGAAAGAACAGAGATAGTTTTACAAAAAAGCAGCAGAACATTTTTGGTGTAATAGGAGCACATTTTGAGTACCTGATGGGAGTCCCACCTGTGGGACTGGGCACTCATCCCATGCACTTTCCTTGCAGATGCTGCAGTCTTGAACAACGTCGCCCACACATTTGGCCTAATGGACACAGTCAAAAAGGTTCTGGACAACAGGAAAAACCAGACAGAGCAAGGAGAGGAACAATTTCTTTACACACTGGCAGGTACAGTCAGCACCTAGTAAGGCTTCTCATCCTGTTGCTGCTCTTGGGAACTGACGTGACTTTCCTTCGACATATGAACCGTATCTGGGTTATTGTTCAATACACGCTGCCCCAAAACAATCCCAATCCCTTTCTGTTCTAGGGCTTGAGTGGAATTTCCCCTCTCCCTTGCCTCACAGTGAGCAGTTGCTTGGGGCATTCGACAGCCCTAAGTCTGTGCCCTTTGCTGCAGCCAAGGTGCTGGGGGTGCGAGTCCAATTCCATTGGCATTAGGAAATAGGTGCTGTTAGGTGAGGGCTGCACAGCAGTCATCTGAGCTGCGGGCAACGCCGTGCTGTGCCGAGCTAATCAGCTTCTCCCTGTATGGGGTGCAGAGTTGTCTGCTTGCTTCGGTGTGGAGCTATCGGGTGTCTTGCATGGCTTCCCCTGAGCTGAAGCCAATAACCTGACCTGGATTCCCCAGAGCCACTTGCTGGATGTGTCTCCCTCCTCACTGTGTCCTGTAGGACCTGTTCTTATCTGGCATGTCCTAGTCCCCTACTGCCCTGGATAAATGAGATTACTGTCCTGCTTCTGACTTCCAGTGTTCACACAGACAAGGGTCGAGGGGGATGTTTCCTTGACCCCATCAGTCCTGCTCCCTGTCCCCAGTACAGGTGCTCGGCTGCTGGGGAGGGGACCCAGCCAAGCCCAGGAAGCAGTTCCTACTGCTCAGGGGGGGTTGGGGTTGTCCACTCTCCTCTGTAGCTGGGTCTAGCCTGGGAGCAGAAATTCCCATCTTCTCATGGTATAGAGCATTGCCAGGTGCTGACAGCCAAAGCAGGCTGAGCGGATGCAGAATGCTGACCAGGTCTGTGTGGGTGTCAGGAGAATCTGGCCTTTTCCTTCAGCACAGTTTGGTCTCGAGTGAAATGCTAAGATCATGCTCAGCTGGGTGGTTGGGAGACCTCCTGTCGCAAACATGGGGTGTAATGGTTGGTTGTGGAGCTCACGAGTCCCCAGGAGCTCCCGCAGTGTGCTGGCCCTAGCCCAACATGCTGCTTAGCCGTTCTCTTTGCAGACCTGGAGCGGCAGCTGGAAGAGCAGAAGAAACTTGCCAAGGACCAGAAGGCGAAGTCCCAAACCATCCAGAACGTGGTGCTGATGCCCGTCAGCGCTCCCAAACCCCCCAAGAGACCCCGCCTGCAGCGCCCAGCCTCCGCCACCGTCCTCAGCCCCTCCACCCCCATCCAGCAGCCTCAGTTCACGGTTATCTCACCCATCGCTATTGCGCCTGTTGGACAACAGTTCTCCGTGGGCAACATCCCGGTGGCCACCATTAGCCAAGGCTCCAGCCCGGTGACTGTTCATACCTTGCCAT